AATCAAATAAAATCTCATAAGAAAAATATAAATATAATAATCCTTTTATAAAAATAAAAAATATTTAATTTTCTTTTCCTTAGTTTTTCTCTCAATTTGGGTATTAAAAAGTAAGAATTACAAAAAAATCTAAAGGATATTGAGTTTTTACCCTTTTTTTTTAAATTAAAAATTTATTCAAAGAAAAGAAATGTTTTTTTGTTTCCGTTACTTTTCCTTATTTTCCTTTCCTTTTCTTCCCTTACCTTTAATCCAAGCGTATACTTGCTGAAAAAGGTGTTAAGTAGGTTTTACAATGATAGGAAAATAGGAAAAGAATAACGAAATAAGATCAGTTTCAGCGCTTAGCACACAACCGATGTTTAGTAAGTCAATCTCATTAAGCAAAGATTTAATAAAATGCTGCGTCCCTGAGTGGTAAATGAATTCAACAACAAGCATTCACAAATAGTTAGCACGCGCCAGATATTGATTGCAGAGACAAAAAGGATGATCAAGCTTCACTTTCTCTCTTCTTCCGTTTTATGCTTTCCCTCCTTGCAATCAACAATGTTCCACTGAGTCTGAAGTCCGAAGACTCTGAACTCAAACTCCGCCAAAGCTTTTCCCAGCTCTCTGAGTGGAAGAGAATCTTAACTATTCCATCTTTTTTTTTTTAATCTTCTGCTTCCTTCTTACCACTTCTTTTCTTCAGAATCGAGTTTGAGATTGCTTGTGAGGAGCTACTACGTTATCTTGTTGCAGCAGCGAAACAATCGAGAAAAGGAGCATGAAGCTGGTTTTTTAAGTTGTGGATGCTCATAATCTTACACCCAAAGATGGTGAGGGGTCAGCTAGTCCATTCCTAAATACCTCAACCCTGTTTGAAATCAGAAACTTTTCTCCATTTTGATGAAACCAAAGACTACAATTATTAACCAATAACTTGAGGTCTCCTTTTACAATGAAAGGAGACCTATTCTGGGTTTCCTTGGTAGGGTAAGAATTCCTTGCTCCAGCATTGTCAGAAAAAGCGATGAAGTCTACCAACAGTTTCAACTAGAAAGACAAAAGTGCTTTCTCTCATCTGTCAAAGGTGAGATTGGCTTGAAAGTCTATATCTCATCAGAATCTGAAGCAAAGTCCCCTCTTCCTTCCTCCTCACCACAAACCCGGCTGTGTAATTAAATACTTCCATCATCAGCAGTTCAGCACCAACTTTCAACTCCTTTTTCAGATAATATCAACTGCAAATCTTTAGCAGCTCACAAAAGAGAATTTTGTCGCTGCCAAAGCTAATCCTCCCGTTATTCTAGTTCAGAAATCCAGTTCTCCTGCCGCGACCTGTTGTAAATGTAGCGATCCTTCTAAAGCGATGAAGGAAGAAATCAAAAAACCCACTGGAGGGACAGTAGAGACAACTACAAGCCAGCCTATCAGTGGAGAAACGGACACACAGTGTGCGATTTACCTTGCAGTCTGTTAATGCACAAGCCCAGCGAGGCGACCAGGAGGACTGTAATCTGAAGGACACCAATTCCAAGCTAGGTGAGAGATGGCATAATGGTGGTGCTTATTGAGAAAAAAGTTGGATGAGTGGTGAGAGATTCACAAGCACTTACGATCTTGTTGAGCAGATGTTCTATCTTTATTTTATGGTCATGAAAGCTAAGGATCATCCTCCTGGCTCGTAACTGGAAGCTGCAACCTTATGTGGATATCTCGATCTTTAGGAGAAAGCCACGTCTGGCTTGGGTTGCCAATTTTCAATTGGATTGTCTCCTTGATAGAAACAAATATAGATGCTGCATCCCGACAAGGACGTCCAAACTTGCGGTGGTTCCTTTCTTTCCAAATGAAGTAAATGCAGGTTGTCCAAGCAAGTGTAAGAATGATAGAAGTCAGAGATTTACCTTTCAAATAGCAGATAGCGCATTGAAGCTCGGAATTCCAATCCATAATTCTCTTTGTAATGCCAGATAGTTGGAGAATAGAACCCCAAATTTGTTGAGAAGACATAAAAAGAATAAGTGGTGTCTATTTTCGCGGGCAGAAATACATAGAAGCCAATCTGTGTTGGTAATAGCAGAATTAGCCCATGCGAAAATACGCTGAAGGGTAGGGAGTCTGTCCAGTATCCCCATGCAAGCAATAATTGATAATCTAGGCACCTGGAGGGGAAACCAAATAACTCGATGCCGGGAAACTTTCGGGTCAAAGCCCCCAAACACTGGCCATAGTGAAGTTTCCAGAAGCAGCAGCAGTCCATAGAACACAACGGGGTGATAAAACATCGGGATTAATAGTTCCACATAAAGCAGACTGGGTTTCTACAAGATCATTTGCTCGTGTAGAGGGCCAATGCCAGTCACCAAAGTGAAGGACATCCGTAACTTTGGCGTAGGAGACAAAGCAGAGTCATATAAGATTTGTTTATTATAATTAAGCAATATAAGGACCAGAGGGATGCCAATTATCATACCATAAGAATGTTTGTTCCCTATTCCCGATAATGTGCTTGAAAAAAGGTCTAGCCATCTCTCTAAGTTTGAGCAGCTTTCTCCAAGTCCAATACAGCTTTGGGGAGCAGAAACTTGCCAAAAGCTCCTTTTTTTGAGATGGTAAGCATGAATCCAAGCAACCCAGATATGTTTTAAAGAGCATGCTACATTCCAAGTGATGGGATTTTTAATTCCAAGGCCTCCCTCAGAATTAGGTTGGCAAATTAAATCCCATTGCACACGAGCTCCTTTAGCGGATCCAATCTTCCCCTTCAAAAGAAAGCTAGAGCAAAGTTTAATAACCTTTTTCACAACCTTCTTTGGGAGCATTAAGATACTACTCCAGAAATTCTGGGTGCTAAAAATTACAGAATTAAGAAGCTGAAGTCTACCTGCATAGTAAAGGTTTTTTGTTGCCCAACTATTAATTCTAGCTGAAAATTTCTCATAAGGGGGTTACATTCTCTCTCAGATAGTTTACCAGAAATAAAGGGAATCCCAAGATACCTTACTCGTAAAGCACCATGCTTAAAGCCAGTTAAAGCTAGCAAATTAGAGATGGCAGAAGGTTCAAGGCCACCATAGAAAAGTTCACTCTTTGCGTTATTGAGCTAAGCAAAAGAAGATATGAAGAATTTTCTGAACTGCAAGGACAGATTTCTTATTGCCAGACGTGAAAATTAATAGATCGTCCGTCAAACGCAAATATGACATTGACTTTCCTACATGTGGGATGATAATCAAAATACAAATGTGACAATGACACTTTCCTACAACTAAGGTGATAATCAATCATCTTTTAATTAATGGCCGTGTTAAGGAATCTTGACAAAATGTCCTTTACCATCACAAACAAATAGGGGGATGCTACGAGCCAGCGAGTTATTAGTTAGTCAAGAAAGTTGACTATTTCTGTTATTTCTGTTGCATGCGGTTATTGGTTAACTGGGTTAGTTACACGATCGCAAATGAGATACTAAAAAGGGGTTTGGTTGTGATTTTGGGATCATAACAACAATTCCAGAAAATTCTGAAACACTCTTTCTTTCAATATTTCTATCAACTCTGCTTTCTTCTTCTTCTAGAAATTCTAGATTTCTGGATTATTCAATTTACAGAGTCTGATAATTGAGCTCGATATTAGCTGCATCAGGGGACAATGGATCTTCTTGCTTCATACCTTTAGCACCAAAAAAATAACCCACCATGCCTCCATTAAGACCAAATGAGTAGCGGACAGAAACTTGGAAGGGGTGCCCAAGGCCTCGAGTATTTTGAAAGGAAAATCCCTATGCACAGAGTCAAAGGCCTTTCTTAGATCAATTTTCAAAGCACACCTGGAGAAATGTTCTTCATTTGAAAGCCCCCTACCAATTACCGGGCCAGTAGAACATTGCCTACAAGACTTCTCTCGATAAATGCGCTTTGATTCGGAGAAATGTACTGCAAGCATTTCTTACGTCGATTAGCAAAGATTTTATAAATGCCTTTATAAATTGTTGTACAATAAGCTATCGGTCTGAAGTCTGACATCCTGAGCTGCATTCGGGATCTTAGGGTTTGCTTTTTCAAATGATCGTGTTCAATCCTCGTTACTAGAAGTTTTTATGAAGGATAAAGAAATGGTGGGAAGAGATGAGTGCCTTGGAAGGGTAGTTTCCGATTTGAATAAGATTCCAACTAGAGTTCCACCCCACAGCCAATTGGCTCCTCAATGGTACAGACTAGATGATAGGTGTGAAGAAGGAAAGGTAAAGGGGAGAGGTGATACTTGCAGTTTGGATGGGTCCATTTGGATGGCACGGTGGAGCTGAGATTAAATGGGCGATTACGTTGATAACGGTGAATGTAAGATTAATTATTGTAGTAAAATTAAAATCAATTATATATATATAGTTTAAAAAAAAATTGAGGTAAATAAATTATTAGATATATCATATTTGATAGTTTAAGATATATAATTATAATTATAGATCGTATATTCAAAATAATTTAAATAAATGATTACTAATAAGATTCAAATCCAAAATTTTTTGATTTAATGAAAATAATTTTAATCGATTGAATCAACCACTTGATTATTTATATATATATATATATATATGCATTTGTACTAAAGGTCGTTAAATTATGATGAAAAAGATGAAAGGTCCTTAGAAACATTAACTAAAAGTTGGACGTAATAAAAAATTTTTAATTGTTTAATATTTATTAAATTATTAAATTCTTTTTAAATCAAACTATAATTTTGTTAATAAATAATAAATAATTATTTATTATTTTATTATATAATAAATTTTATTTATTAATTAATTTATAATATAATAATAAAATTTATTTTATATCAAATTAACAAAATTTATTTTGTACTTTTTGAATAAAAATAAAAAAGTCCAAACGAAGCCCCAGACACTGCCTCAATCTATGGAGAGAGTGACATTTTGAAAGCAACTTTAGTAATTTGAATTCACCAATATCTAGTGTGTAACTGCTAGGCAAAGCTCATAAAGGTAACAATGCTAGTAAGAAAAACGTATGATTTGATGAATGGATTGCAGGCCATAAAACACTGGTAGAGACTTGTTACTTTCATGGCGTTAAGTGATAATAATAGAGTAAGGAAATTGATAAAATATGAAGTTTATTTCGAAACTACCCTAAACCATCTTAAATTAATACTTAAAAGCAGTAGAGGGAGTGTAGCTTTTATTTGGTGGAGACAAGCGCATCGATTTTGTGTTCAAGGTGGGCTTCATGGTCCCCCAGTCGAGCTCTGATGGAATCATTCTCCCAATCCCAGTGAACCAAAGTTGGGACTCCAGTGAGCTTGAATGTTGAGTCTACCCGCCAAGGGTGCTGCGGATTCCTCCACGTTGGCCTGTCACCCACATATGCTCTCAGCAGTGCCACATCTTCTGCTAATGCATCCAGCTTCTTGTATATCACAGGTTCAGCTCTTATACAGTCTAAGAAAAAAATGGACCCAAATTATCTCAAAAACCATAGCCCAAATCATCCGCATAATTACTTTACTACTATTAGACCTAGTTGATAATAAGGTAAAATAAAAATCACATCATCAATTAACTCAAAAAACATAAACCCAGAAAGAAATACTAAAAGACAGGAACAGAGATCATATTAACAAAGAAGAAGTAATAAATGAAAGTACCAGGGCACCAACTGAGAGAGGTAGAAGGGTCTTTATCGGCCAAGAAGAGGATGAGATTGAATTTGTTGTTGGGTGCATCTGATCTGAATTTCTCAAAGATTCTGTCAAAGCTTGAAACGGTCGCATCCACCACCTTCACCGGCATTCTCTTCCTTCTATTTGTAGTTTGAGAGGATTAGTCGCAGTTGCAGCCCTACCTTTAAAAGGAGGTGGCAACACAAAATCTTGTGCTTTCTTTCGGCCCAATAATTTTATGTGCCTAAATTATCTATAGAACAGACAGAGAAAGGCCCTCGACTTTAGCTGAATTATTGAGAGAACCTAAGGCCCAAATAGAAACCAGAACCGTAAAAACTGTAGATTGGGCGATCCATAGCCAACATAGGGCTTAATTAGTCCACTTGCTGCACTGTGGTGGGTCTGGGCACTGCTCTTTTTTCTCAAAAAAATAAATACCCATTTCCTTTAAAGCTTTGCTGGCCTAGAACCTTCCAGCTATCCATTAATCAAATCAAATTTAGGGTTTTGTTAGGGTTTATTCTACTGATTCACGTCCCAAAGCCACAAGTCCAACTCTTTCTCTCTCTCTCTCTCTCTCTCTTTTAATTTACCATAAAAAATTTAGATTTGATTTCTTAGTACAGACAGAGGGAGGAAGAAATAATTATACAAAGATATAAATATAGATAAGGGCTAAAAGAAAGAAGAAAACCTGAGAGAGAGGTCGCAAATGGTTGGGTCAAATGGCATTACTCTTATTCAAAGCTTGGCTAGGCGCTCGCATTCCCTTTCTTCCAACATTTTCCAGCCAAATTCTGTACGCTCTCTTTTTCTAATTTTATCTAATTTCTTTTTGTTTATTTTTCTAATCTGATATATGAATAAATAAATGAATGAATGCAATCGGCTTTTCCTCTAATAATATTGTCTTCAATTGTAGATGTATAAGACTCTTATTGCTGGGGGTTTTAGGAGTTTCACTACCGGCCTTTGCAATCCAGTTAACGTTGTTAGAAATCACACTTCCCAATTTGGTAATCTACAATCTCCCTTTTTTCACTTTCTTTTCTTTCTTTTGCGCTTTCATTTTTTTTTTTAATCTTGCCACGCATCAGAGTATCTTTTAACCCTTTTCAGGCATGTCTAGTTGGTTTCCAATGCTTTGACACCATTTCTTCTTAAATAAACAGAGAATCAAGACCATACTTTTTGTATGCTGTGTTGATTTTTTTTTTTTTTCCCTTCTTTCTGAGTATCGAATTGCATGCTTGTCAATGCAGCTAAAACTAGAAACAGCTTGATTTTGGGACTTTTAAATGCAAACTTGGGTGCAACACGATCAATTCATGGCACTGGTATTCTACAAGTTTCTTTTTCTCCATTTCCTGTTTTTTCCTTATATTAATCTTTCTGGGATATTAATCTTTCTGGTTCAGCTATCATGTCTGCTAGGGATTATTACGATGTACTTGGTGTAAACAAGAATGCTACTGCACCTGAAATAAAGAAAGCTTATTTTGGGGTAAGTTTCGTTGTGCATCATATGTAGTTATCTTTCTGTCAGCCGCCAGCATGCATTGACGTTCGTGTTCGTGTTTGTGTTTGTTTTTCCTTAAAACTTTTTTTATATAAACATTCTTTTTTAAAATATTTTAATATTGATTAATGACTCAAACTTCATTATGCTTGTTCACAAACTAAGTATTTAAGTGCATTTTCCAATTTTGATTTCAAATTTTTTAAAAAATATTGTTTATTATTGATTAATGATTCCAGTGTCACCAAGATATATTATCTAATTACATGTTCAATGGTAACGGAATTTTCCTCATTGATGAGTCAGCAAACTACCTTAAGGTTCGAGAATTATGATAATAAAGATATTATTTGATCATGAACCTTACCTAATTAAAAAAACGTAAACAAATTCTACTTACTAGTTGCCCTTTGTCTTCTTATAGACATTTTATCAACTAGTTTGCAGTGCATGTTCACAAACCAAATTAAATGCAGAGAGAAAGAGAGAGAGATTCAGAGCTTACCTCACAAGAAGAGGTTGTGATGGTGGAGATAAAGAACTTTGGCATTGTGGTTTTTGGTTGATAGGTGTTGCCATAAAAATGGCGGGCATGGTGGGTTATGGGTTTAGTGAAAATAGTGTTTGATTCTTTGAAAGTGTTAGAAGAAGGGGCAAAAAAAAATTGGGTCAGTCACATTGGTACTTGGTTTGCTTGTTTCAATTTTTTTTTTTCTTAATTTGGGTCAAGTCGAGTAACCTGTGGCCTGAGATGAAATGCTATTGACCCATGAAACGAGAACCAAATCCAATCTGTGCTAACTTTTACCTTGACCAGACCCACATTAGCGGGTACGGTCTCAGGCTTACTCCACTCATGTTGCACCCCTAGTGTTACTTCCAAATTCTATCACTTCTTATCACTGTTTCTTGATTCAAATTTTCCTTTTATTCTATAGCTTGCAAAAAAGCTCCATCCAGATGTCAATAAAGATGATCCTGAAGCTGAGAAAAAATTTCAAGAAGTTTCCAAGGCCTATGAGGTAAGTTTCTCATCTGGGATTGTTTACCTATTTTCTTGGTTAATTTCCCTTGATGCTGAAGGGAATCACATTTTGTTTGTTCTATTGTAGGTTTTAAAAGATGAGAACAAGCGTGCAGAGTATGATCAGGTGTGGTAAAATTTATTCATTTATCCTTTTCATAATAATATTTGTCAAGTGGAAATGTATCACTACCTTTCTTCTATTACTCATTACATTAAGCAGGGAAGGGTAGATGAGAAATGTCATTTTCCTGCTCAACCTATATGTACATTCTTAAATTTATATCTGCAAGTGGATGTTCTTGCTTCTAAACTGTTTCCTGAATATTTATGTACAAAATACCTTTTTCCCATATTTTGTCATGCTGACCTTAGGTATGTGCAAAATTTTTATAGGTTGGTCATGAAGCATTTGAGCAGCAGCAAAATACTAGCGGCTTTAATGAGGCGGATTTTAATCCATTCAAATTCAGCAACCTTCATGATGTAATTTGGTTCTTTTAAGCATTTCTGGTCTGTTTTTTATTACATTCATTCAAGGATATTCTTTGTTAATGAACTTTAAGCTTCTTGCACCGTTTTATCATTGATAACATTCAGTTAGACTTGCTTGTTTTATGGTGCTCGGTTCTAAGAAGAGCAAGTTTTTGAGCATTTGGATTCCAGAAATTTGAGATATGATAATATGAGATGCCCCATCTTGTAGAAGAGATTACTAATGTTTTGTGCAAATTCAGCAGATCTTAAGAGTGAGTTGTGAGAGTTAGTCAAATAAATGTTTGTTTAGTTTTAGTGCAGGTGCTAGTTTGGTACAATTAGTATTTTCCAATGAAAAGACTTCTCATTAACTGTAATTCTATCTGACAGTCAAATACTGTCAATGTCAGTAGAGAAATGGACATATATTTGCTGCCTTTCTCATAGTGTTATTGATATTTGAGGTGTCAGTGACTGGTACCTGGTTGATTACTGATGCTTGGATACTGGTATCTGTATTTGATCTGGGGCTCACCACACTTGTTAACACTGAGCATCATGATGTGATGTTCCTTGCATGTGAATATGGTTGCCGGAGGAATGAATGTGCTTATCTGTAGGCTTGTGGTTCTTTTTGTATTTCTTGTTTTCATTCCTCTAATACCATATTTTTATTTGCATATCGGCCAGATATTCAACATTCAGGATATATTCAAAAATACAATTGGTGGCGAAGATATCAAGGTTTTCATCAGTTCCTAACTTTGTGTTGATGATTATGTTTTTGCTCTATTTTGTTTTTCTGACTTGTCACATATGGTTTGCCATGCCTTAGATTGCGATTGAACTATCATTTATGGAAGCTGTTCAGGGATGCACCAAAACAGTGACATTCCAAGCTCCAGTGCTTTGTCAAGCTTGTGGTATGCCTTATCTTTCCCCTTAAATAATGCTTTTCTTTTTTTTTTTTTTCCTCAGGTAAGCTCTTTCTGCTTGCTAAAATCTTCTGAGGTTTCATGATTTTTTTTTCTTTCGGGAGCAAAAAAGCAAAAATACTCTTGGATGCAAAAGCAAACAATATTTTTGAAAGATAATAGATAAAATATATATTTTAATTACCAAATACATAAGCCTTAGTTAATAAGCTTAATTGGTCTCAAGTTATTTTCTCCTTATTTTCAGGTGGAGAAGGTGTTCCTCCTGGTGTGAAACCTGAAAGATGCCGGTATTGTGGAGGCTCAGGCATGGTTAGTTTACTGGAATAGAGTCATGCAAGCCCACATAATTGAGGAGATACTCCTAATGATAAACATAAGGGAATTAGTTTATCTCCTTGTTAACTTATGGTTTTACTATTGTCTCAGATATCTATCAACAAGGGTTTTATGAGTATTCGTTCTACTTGTCCTCATTGTAGTGGAACTGGTCAGTTTGTATCGGTACGTTATACATCCACGATATTTCACTTTTAATGAATCTTTTCTTAGTTGGTCATGATCGGTTTGCTGTTGTTGCTTTTTGTTGTCTTTATTTGCAGTTTTTTCAACTTGATCTTTTTCCTCATGATTAACAGAAGTAATTAATTTTCTCATGAATGTGGATTTTGTGATGATTTCTTTTGTTTATTAATAAGCAACTAATGTTGTTTATTAGTTCATGCTTTTATCATGAAGAATTTGTTTTATATGATTTTAGTTTCTTCCAGTTTGAACTTTGTTTTAGAATTGTCATTTGAGATCTCTTACTTTTGCTGTCACCAGAAACTTTGCAAGTCATGCAATGGAGCTAGGTTAGTGAAAGGACCAAAAACGGTCAAATTGGACATAATGCCAGGTATTTTACAAAGTTAAAGGTCTATTTGGTGGTTGCTTTGCTAATGGTTTAACCTGTCATGTCCTGCATTATATAATGCATGATAAATGGGTCTGTTGAGTTTCCTGTTCTACTGACATTAATTTACGATATCTGAGTGTATGTGTTTCTTTAAAAGCTGAAAATTCTTACAGGGAATTGAAGGCATTGAAACTTGTATCTAATGAGTAGTTGGGCAAAATATAAACTTATACATATCGCCTTGGTAGTTTTCGAAACAATTTCTTATCTCCTTTGAGTTTTCTTATTTCTCATTTTGTACTATAGAGTTGGGAACTAGAGAAAATAGTGTCAAGTTAACTTTCTTCATGTTTCATTCACCTTTTTCCTGCTTGTTGACTATAACAGCGATTGGCCAAAAAAAAAAAGTTGATTATAACAGTGCATCGAACAATCAAATTTTCTTTTTAAATGTCAGAACTAAAACAACAAAGTGGTGTTTCTATGATCCTTTTTCAATGATTAAAGTTGTATCCATTATCAAAGACATGGTTTTCTAGTGTTTTGTGTTTATCATATGATTGACTCAAAGTTATGTTCCTTCTTCAGGAGTGGATAACAATGAAACATTGAAGGTTTATGGAAGTGGTGGAGCAGATCCTGATAGAAATCATCCTGGGGATCTTTATGTTACCATAAAGGTAACTTGTTCAGGGCCTGTCTAATATCTCGACAGTTTGCATGCCTTTCAATGAATTATTTATAATCTCAGTATACTTGTTTAAAGAATGGTGCACTTATAAAGGAAGCAGTGGTAGGGATCATTATTTTAGAATTATGCTTAAATGTTTACTGAGAAGAACAGTGATTGAATGTGGCACAACAATAGTAAGCCTCAGTGAATGAAATTAAGGGATTGCATTGGTTAGAATCTGGTTATTCTTTCATACTGGAGGCAATATTAAAGTAGTGAATATATGGTGGTGTTGGTGGTAATAGGTGTTAGTACTCAAAGATTTGGAGGCAAAGCCAAAAAATGCTGTGTGCTGCAGGTGTTCATTTCAGTGGAAATAGTTAGTTGCGATAGCAAATTATGGATTCAAATTAATCTACAATTATTAACCCTCATTGCTGTTGTGTATTGTTTCTATTTAGGAATTTAATCTAATAGATGAGTGCCCGTTTTCTTCCTTTGTACCTTAGTTTGCAGAATTGTTTCAAAATTGCAAATAGTCCAACGCTTTACGCGTGAGCCAAATTTACCTTGCCTTTGTCTTTGTTAGTCAACTGTTCTTGGTCTTTACCCTTCCAGTTCACAACAGCCTAGTATCTTTATTTCATCATTGCTTAAAGAAAATTTTCAGTTTCTTGATTAATTACATTTTTATTTGCAGGTCCGACAAGACCCAGTTTTTCGTAGAGAAGGTGCCAACATTCATGTAGATGCTGTTTTGAGTGTTATTCAGGTAGAATTGGAATTCAATATTTTTCAAGCTATCAAGAGGCTCATATGTTGAGGTTTTGAGCAATGTCTTTATTTGATAGCTCAATAAAATCCCTTGCCTTCGATTGTTTCAGTTATTTAGATATTCATATGGTGCAAATTAGCTTATATCATTGTGCATTCCTTTTATTTACAATCCTTATATCTGATTTACCAGAGTTAATTTGATTGCTTTCCTTTTTGCAGGCAATCTTGGGAGGAACTATCCAAGTCCCAACTCTTACTGGTGATGTCGTGCTCAAGGTTTGTTGGAAATTGTGTATGATTGATGTAAAACATAGAAACTGATCTTTCTTAATTTCTTGTACTTGAACTGAATGCTTATTTTGTCACTAATGTTGTTTCCTATCTGCAGGTCCGCCCTGGCACTCAACCTGGCCAGAAGGTAGTTCTGAAGAATAAAGGTAAAATACTAGGGAAAATGCTTCTTTTGTTGGTTTAAGTTTGTGTATATGGTGAACATACCCTTTTGTGGCCCGATTGGTTCATGGAATAATCGGTTACCCTCGTTAATGAGATTGGCCTCAAAGATCTGGGGAATAAGATAGATAGCTATAATTGATTTCTTTTTTTAAGTTTGTATCAACAAAAAAAAAAAAAAAAATTCAATGATCTTTCATGCATTCATTTGGTTGATAATAGGAATCTTACCCACCTTTAGCATTTTCTGAAAATGCCTTCATCATAAACATAAAGGGCATCATTCATAAAAATAAGTGTAATCATATTTTGTTTTGGCAAAGGGAGGATCCGAACCCCCATCTTTGAGTAGGGGATACATTCACCCATCACTTAAGCCAAATGCTAGGGTATACTTGTATTCATTTTTCATATATCCAAAACTGTTTTTATAGATCTGAACGTATAAAATTATTTAGTTTTATCTTTTCATATTTGAAAGCCAAAGATAAAAAATTCACCTTTTTTTTTTATTTTCCTTATAGTCTACTTTTTTTTTTGTATTTTAGTTGATTTTATTGGTAAATAAAATGAGGAAAATTTCATCAAGAAATAGAAGCTATGTTATTTAATTTTATTGATAAACAAAATGAGGAGAATTTCTTTTTTATGTTTATATAAGCATGTTATTTGAATTCCTCATCCCCTCCATTTCTTTTGTCTCCCTGTTTGTCTTGATGTTAGTTTGTTTTCTTGTGGTTTGAGCTGTCAGAATTTCTTTTTATTTTTTCAGGGATTAAAACACGGAACTCTTACACGTTTGGTGACCAATATGTGCATTTCAATGTTAGCATCCCAAAGTAAGTCTTCTATTTCAAATATTGTTCCATGAAGGAGAATGTTTCTAATATATTTATGATGCACCTCTCATCTGCTCTTGAGCATATGCACATTTGAAAGTAAATTACTCCTTGATTTATGGGCTTTCCTTAAAATGTAAACCAGAACAAACTAATCGATGGTTGGAAACTTTTTGCACAGGAATCTGACCCCAAGACAACGTGAATTAATTGAAGAGTTTGCTAGAGAAGAGCAAGGTGAATATGATAAGCGTGCTGCTGGGGCATCTGGTTGAAGAAGAGACCAGAATGGCTTTCATTTTTTATAATCAATCCAAAGTTATCTTGGTGACAAAGAAGAGGCATAAAGATGAGAAATTGGATTATTAGTAATAACTCATGTTTTGGACGTTTTGTACAAGTAAATTTTAGATTGCATTAACTTTTATTTACTTGTGTAAGGTATTTAAGTTTTTTTCACTTGCAGATGACATTGATCCATCATTTTGCAACCAACGGTGGTATTATATATAATACATGTAGGTGTAAGTATAATATAGTTGCTACACGACGCCACTGTTGTATTGTGGCAGATTTGACTGGTTTGCTGAAATTTTTTAATAGCATTGATAGAGATCCAGGGAGAAATGGTTGAGTTAATTTCCATGCTTTTATGAGGTAGGTTACATTCTGAAGCCTGATCTTTTTCTTTTTTTTTTTCCTCTTAGTTCCTGTTACCTTCTGATTTCCAGTAATGCAAGGAGAAACCCTAAACCCTGAACTTTGAAGTTTAAGTGGCAATAACAATATCTCTTTTCAGCCTTTCGTAGTATTGGGTTTGATGGTATATGTTTTCTGTAGTATAACACGAAGTATAGAATGGTAATGAAACATAAAAATAGAATAAGACGAAGATAGAGCGCTGGCGGCTTTTTATTAGAACTCCAGCAACTTTCAGAGCAGGGAAGAAAAAGTATAACATGGAGATCTCAAGAGTGATGCCTCTAATAGATTTTGTTCCCCCCGAGACTTTTGACCTCTAAAGACAGTCTTGGGAAATGCAATTAAAGGTCATAAGGCAACCCCACTTCGATCTCCGTTTCGAATCATAGATCTAGGAGATTGTTATTTTCAGTATCTTTACTTCAGCTGGTAGTTTTGTTCAGTCTTTATGTTAGAGACGTACGATTCATTCGAGTAGTCTGTCTTTTACAAGGCTTTACACGATGCGTTGGGCAAAAACACACTCTCCACTGCTACTGATAAGACTGGACCTTTGTTGTTCGCCTCATCATTGCAACCTCATGGTGCAAATGCCATTTGCTTCGACAAGCCCAAGGTGGAAATGCCGCTGTGAATGTGTCATCTAAAATTAAAATATTAAAATATTGTAAGGAAGCTAATTCTTCAGGTGGATTCAAATGGCAAACATTTTTATATCAATGTACTTTCAAAATCATGCCTAAAACAAACGACCAAAACAAAACTAGGAGAACAGCTCATGACAATGTATTCATTCCTATTTGCATCAGATGTTGCCCAGTGCTTACCAACCAGCTGACATTTGTCAGCCAGATTATTGGAAAAAAAATGGAATTCTTGCTGGCAATTCTACCCTCCCAAGTTACAAGCGCATACCAAAGCATCCCTTACCAAGTTACGATGAAAATGTTAGTAAACATTCCTCAAATTGATGAAGTAACACATCGAAAATCTGCCTGTCAAAATCTCAACATGTGACTTTGGGGTTTTGTTTTCTGTTTTTTATCATCCAAGGAAGCGAGGCCTTTGCCTAATCCAACAGGTGCTTGTTCCCTTTCCTTGAATGTTGACTCATCTTTTTTGGCACCAACTGAACCATCTGGACGATGCACATTTGCTTCCCTCCTTTCTCCAGCGTCCTCACCATCTACTGCCTATCGAGTCGCCCCCAAGTTGATCATGTTAAGGAGCTGAGTTAGTGGGGGCACAGCTTGCACTGGTATCCCATGTGAGCGAGTCGCGAGACCCCTAGCATCGGCTTTCTTCCTTACTTCTGCTGCTGCACGAGCTGCTCTTTCATCAAATCCCCATCCTCGAGGTAGAGTCTCGCCGATCATTGCTGCATTAAGGGATTTGTTGAAAGCAGCACTGGAACTCCCAGATCCTCCAGCTGCAGCAGCAACTTGGAATGCATGTATCAAATCTGGATGGGCCTGTCATTGCCAAATTATGAGTCACATGGCTAATCATAGCAACAAGTAACACAGTTTTTCTCAGATCTGTCTACATAATTTGCTGAAAAAGGCACCCAGAGAAAAAAAATGTGGAAAGAGGTGTCAACAATCTAGAAATGGATGTCTACATAAGTTCTAATAACGGTTGCCTTAGTGAACTGACGATGTGAAAGGCAGGGAAGAAAAAGCAGGGTAATTAAAATACCTTCGAGATATCAATTGCTTTTTGAGGAGAAGCTGCATTTAAAGCTTGATCTTTTTGCTTTTGAGCATTCATTTGTCAATACGAATTAGCAACTTCAGAAACTACAAAGGAAAAATAAAAAAATTAATATTACTCTTAAAATAATTACTCTTAAGAATAGATTGATATCACACAGTAATTGCAAGACCATTCACTTGCCTAAAGTTCACGTATCTTAAATGTCTTCATCCCATTCTGGGAGTCTCTTGTTCTCGAGTCCTCCTCACCAAGCTGTTTTACGAGAATGTCAGAGGTTTTCTTTTCATGCTGTGTGCACCAAAAGAGATTATCAGTTAAATGAATCTTATTTAACCCTATTTGTAAGAGAAAACACATTATTCTTCCAGAAACACATGCCTGGTGAGAGAGTTTGCAGGTACCCAGACAATTGAACGCAATTGCAAGGGCATGATAGCATGCAGCTATTTGAATATGTTCCTCGTCACGCAGCCTTTCATTCTTTTTCAAGGCCTCCTGTAGATAGCGAAGTGCCGTGTTCATCTTTCCAATATCTTGATACATCATTGCAACATTTATGAAAGTTGCAGCAACATCAGGATGATCTGGCCCAGAAAATAGGCTTAGCAAAAGCAATGCCCTGGGCATGTGCTGTAATGCTAGCTCTGTCTGATTAAGGCCGTGGTAGAAAAGAGCCATATTGCCATAACTGCAGCAGCATAGTTGCAAATTAATTAGAATTAATCCCAGAGGGCAAGAAAGGGTAAAAATTTGCTAGAAACAAAGTTCAAAATATTTCCATTGTAGAAATAGCAATTGAGATAAATCCAGATTGTTAACACCAAATGAGCCCATTATGTGTGTGTATATGTGAAGAACATAGAGCAAAGAACTCATACCTATGAGCAGTATCAGGGTGGTCCAAAACCAAGCAGCGTTCATTTATAATTAGTTCTTTGCGCTGTTGCATTATGGCCCCAAACAAATCTCCTACATGATACAAAACCATAGCAAGGTACCTGAAAATAGGTAAGTGAAACTATTTAGACTAGATTGGAGGCCAGAACATTGTGAGCACTCAACCTCTATAAGTCTAATTTTGGAAGGAAAATACAACAATGATCATGTCTTTAACATGATGAACTATCTCAATGGTTTATTCAAACATATCAAGCAAAATACACAAAAGCTGAATTATCATTAAGATGATACAAAGAGGACTAAATATAATTACTTTTTTGTATAATTAAATTACTAAAAAGATAAGATGAATAGGAAAAAAAATAGTAAAATGTTGAGTTGTGATAACTACCGACAGCAATTGGCAACCTCCCGATGCATTGGCCCAGTGACCTGAAATCAATTGAGGAGATCATGAAAAGCTGATATTTAAGAATTCTTAATAAGAGGAAATGGCGTAACTTACCTGTTGAAGTATTGAAAACGCCTCTGAAAACATTGTATATGCTTCTTCAGTAAGCATGCCCTAAGAGAAAGATTGAAACACAACAATACATCAAATTGTCATAAATATTATACATTCTACATAACCAAACCAATCCAATTCAACGATAAACCTATTTGCAATTGCAGATAAAATTGACCCGCAATTTTCCTCATATAACTTTTTAAGATTTCTAATATAGTTAGTGAAAATTTTTTTCTTGTAGTAAATACACAACAAATACAGAAAAGCTGATACAATGGTGTCGTGATATTGGAGATACTTCATTATTTATGACTGAAAGGGAATACAGTGCTTACTTCAGCTAATTGGACCTTTCCCATCTCTACAAGATCTTTAGCTTCTGAACATACAGGAACCGAATGTTTCACTACAGGTTGGAGATTCAATATATCTGATGTTTGAAAGGGTGTTGCAGTGTTAAAATCATATTTGCGAGCAGCAACAGTTATACCCACCTGTATAGGGATCCCCAGCCATGTAAGCATTTGATAAATCAGAAGATATAGCTTGATTTTATCAGAAAACTCAAGAACAATAGACAGCTGCAGTGTATATTACTTAAGCACATGTAACATAATCAAGGATGGCTGGCTTACAAAGGTTGTGTAAGGTAGAATAAGCTAGAATCACCCAAAGTTTAAACTGACGAGCATGTGCAATCAAGTACAATCCAAAAAAAAGAGAACAATGATGGCGGAAACCACCCCTAACAGCATTATGTAGTTCGTTCATAACACAAGATGCATCTCCTAAGAAAAATGCCTCACAGCAAATAAAAAAATTCTGAAGGTGCTTCCTACATAGTGCAAAAACTTGCATAGAAGCAATCAATCATATCAACAAATAAGGACAAATGTAAAAACTGGCATGGAAGCAATCAATTATCAACAAATAACAAGGACAGATGTAAAAGAAGTAATGTGTCAAATAAGAAATAGCAAATTGAAAGAACTCATAATGACCTTTTGACACAGATTGCATAAGACAGAAACTTTCTTCACTCGAAATCTTGCATCCTCCGGCCACTCAAACTACATAAGGGAAAATCTTAAATAAAACATAAACTAATGTACTCAATGTGCAATATAATAGACAGATGTGCTGGTAAGCATTCATTCATAATACAATAGCATCCCTTCACTACTGATGAGATGATCTACCAACTTCATAGGATACCCATAAATACAAATCAATACCTGATATTTCAGTTTTGCAAATTTCTGAACGTCAGACCATAGAGTTTCAGAGCTGACATTCATATAAGAGGAAATATTCTTCCTTGGAGATGCTTTGCCCTTCCATCTAGCATGTCCCCTCAAAGTTTTGCCCGAAGATTGATGTCTTGCTTGCTCCTGCAAATATTTTGAACATAAATACAGACCTCAGGCACTCTATTCCAGCCTAGATTTACCATCACCTAGAATATAAGTTCAAAACTGACTGACAAGACGTTAAGGCTTGTAAACAACTATTTTCATAGGGTAGTTCCCCCTAAAAACAGAGTCTTAAGCTTACACGGATTTGGATCGTGGACACACCAAACATTGTATACTACAAAGGGCCCTGAGAGTGGCATTTATTGAAATAACTCATGCAAAACATCTTACAGCAAAGTAACTCAGGATAAAAAACTCATCTACATTAAACATACTTTCTTTTGGATTTTGGACTGTACACTAAAGTTAATTTTGCTCTGACAGCTTGGCAACTTCCAAAGAAACAGTTCAAAAAATGTGAGATTGCTGGTCCAAGATCATGGTCCTCTGTA